TGTAATGCGGTTTACTAACATGCTTATCCAATGACTAACGTCGAATGTGCACATTTGTTTAATTACACACGCTAGCAGCGCATACTTGATGTAATGGCACATCATGTTTCAACAAAACACTCACATCCACTTGTCTCTCGATCCACACGTAGACTTAAAAGAATTCAGTGAAACACCGAATTCGCTTCTTTCGTTTACGTAGCGTTCACCCCGCGCAATTCCTAAGTGAGACGGGACCGTCAATATAAATGTGTCCGTCCTTATCTTAAGGAGCCGGAGCACTAGGGCTTTTTCTATAAGAATTGTAGTCACAACTGCATCCTTGAGTAATTGTTTTACATCTGTGACCTGCGATCCGCACGAGCTTCAGTTAAGATCGTGGTTTGGTAGAAATTATTTTCTCTCAGTGTATTCTAACTAGAGTCGACTCTGCAAGCGCCTGATTGGCTTGATCTAGCTGCATGCGGTGGTTTAAAAGTGCTTGATCCGGAGCGCTTTGACAGCCAGCCCCAATTAAGACCACGGTGTGGATAACATAAACTAACATTTCACCTGCGTGGCGTAAGTTCACAAGAACTACAAGGTTGCACGGACTGTCCCATGCCTCAAATCAATTCGCGATAAATGGAAGTGTGTTCCTTCACCAAATAAACGCGCCGCATCGAATTGAACACTGGTTCCGCATGCCCAACCACCGCTTATCGAGGTGGCACAGATTTATGGATGGACCCACGTTGGTGTGACGCACGAGTGGGACTATGATTAACATGGCAGATGGATATAGAATCACTACAAACTAGATGCATATGCCATATAGAAGGATTGCTTTTGTCTCCAGGCTGGACTAATGCTGAGATGGTAGTGGGGGTACACCGACTGTGACTCAAGGTAAATTCTCTTCAACAGCCAGCCATCAGTGAATGCTAGCTAATACGCAGTAGAATGGTGGTTGCGCCATTGAAAGCTAATACGGTGGCCATTAGAACGATATCTGTCCTGTGAAATCTGGGAAAAGCCGACATTCATATTGGAGGTTTATGTTCCACATTTTGTCGCCCCGATGTCCCCGCAGATGGTAGGTATACTATGCAGACAGACGCAATGAGCATAGAAACATCTGCAGCGAGGAGATAAGTTGTGAATGGTTAGAAATTGCAAACATGTACACCTTGATACTTGTCACTTGTGAGTATCAAAAGATCAAAGCCTGCAAACAAGCAGTGAAGAGAAAGTGCACGGTACTTGATAAGCGAGACAGGAATCATACTTTGGAAGTGCGAAAAGGGTCTTTTGGATAGTAACCGAAGCCTATCCAGCTGCCTACCCGTATTTTGCGGAACAGACCACTTCGCTTATCGTTCAACACCTTAAAAACAGACTCCCGGTTCATTCTAAGTCAATGAACAATGATTTATCACGGGATAAAAGCAAGTGCTTTACACGTCTCATAGAATGGTAGCGGTGAATATGATGCAATTAAAATATGTCTGGGTCATCTATCGAACGTCTGCCGAGATAAATAATTTGATAATTAACGTCAGTGTAAAATGAAAAAGAAATATCGCGCGTAAACATTCAGAAAGACACTGGGGCGCAGTGATAGTTGAGATAAGGAGTGAGAAAATAAAATATGGTCGCTCACTTAGGTCTAATTGATACATTAGTCCTGTTGAAAACATGCTTGGCGTAATCCACACACCTGCACCTATGGTGTAAGACACATTGGACATAAGGTCAGGCCTTTGTCATGGAACACCTGTTTCAAAGTGGACACGAAATTCGACCAACGGATTCATTCATAGCCTTCTACACTGTGCTCAACAGGTACCCCAAAATGCTTAGAAAACGCTTCCTGAGGACGGCTGAGGCAATTATCATCAGAATGACGCAACCGGAGTTGTGCAAACAAAAGGCAAAAGCGCTCTTCTTACCATGGCCGAGTATCAACTTAGTCAGTGGCCAAATGCGACTCTCTTCGCGCCATCCGCTGTTGACCGGCAAGACTATCGATCGAATGTGGTAGCAACGTTCAACTGTTCTCGACTCACCTATTCTCAGTCCGGCCCTCACTGGCTTACTGCGTTGCGTTGCGTCTGCACTCTTATAACGGTATTTTGCAGATGAGAAACGGTGAAAAAATATCCCTTCGAAGGTTTGAGTTCTTATATATACAGAATTTGTAGAGCTAGAGTAACAATACAATGTCGCTCAAAAATAACTCGTTGGTCGTGGGGGGAGAGTCTGATGTGAAAATAAGCGTTGGGATCAAAATCGTTTGCAACATTCCCCCGACCATTCAACTGCAGTACAATTTGGGCGCAACAGACGAATAGCCGTCCCAAGAACATTATAACCAGAAACCAATTAGCACCCTTAAAAGAGCGACCTGCTAGAAAACAGAGCCAATCTGTTTATCGAGCTCACCAGTCGAATCAGTAATGACTCACGGGCATTGCCAAGGCGGCAGCATAATTCAAATCGGCTCCTACTACGCATCTGTCTGCGCCGGGATGCTGAGATCGCTCCAGACACCAGTGTTAATGTGTGTGTTTCTCAAACGGCACCGAATACACCGAAGGGGAATCCAACCATAGGACATCTATATGTTGCTGTTCCACCTCCTGTGTTCATTATACAAGTTAGGAACCAAGGGAATCTGTGGCAGCAGGTGCATCTGCAACATGCTGCACTATAATAAGAAGCATCATGATTGGGTGTTCATTTTGAAGCACTTGTTCTGTGAATGGATTGCGATATGCAATTGATGCGAACCCTGACAAATTCGAACACTGGGGAGGTAAGTGATGAAGCAGATGAGTTGTGGGTATCGCCTGTCCCAAAAACAATGCGGATCTCGCGCTACAATCTATTCACACAACAACTATTGTGAAATGACTCTCCAATAGTCATTAACCGCTGTGGAAAACGGCGCTCGCCGTGACACCGTGGCTTAGGAGTATAGGTCTCAACCAACATCCAGTTGGTCCCAGGGTTCGTGTGCATGCTATCTGTACCTGAGGAGATCAAATAAATTCAGAACCGTTCGTGAAGTGCAGTATTTACGGGCGGGCCACGACCAATATCCCAGAAGCACAGTGAACCCAAACCGAAGAAGACATACCATGGGTTATCTCTACCCAGATGGGGAGTAAGCGAATCCATCGGAAAGCGCGCTACCAAAACTCGCTATAGCGATGCTAAAAGCGCAACAACACTGAAGCGACCACTACAGTGCTGTAGAGATAACCCAGCAAATTAGCTGAGACAAAACGTAGGCTTTCAGTCCTCCGCGTGCAACGTTGAAACTGATGTCGGCACATTGGGGAGTCACCTAACTAATTACTGACAGTACTCTTGAGTACCACTCTGACTTCACTTGCTTAAAGGTAGCAAAATCCTGACCCGTACAACGTGATAGTAAGTAACTAAAAGTAGTAGGCACTATGGTCTCACAAGCACGTAAAGTACCCAAACGAACTCAGATCAGTACGGCTAAAGTGATCTAGTTGCCAGATGTGTACACACAAGCTGAAACTGCGGATGAAACGCGTAAGCTCTCAAGACTGCAACGAGACACAGAAAAGAGACTGGCCGATAACAATGGTTCGTCTACTGACTCAGTCAAAGGCAAATCGTACCTTCTACACTTCATATTTAGAGCTAAATAGTATAGAAGCGTAATGTACAAACTGCAGAGGAAGGTGGACGTTGGCAAGACACATGAGTTGTCAAGTAGTAGTAGTGACCCGGGGAAAACAGTTGAGTCAAGTGTTGACTGACATTATACAACAGCGTCACGAAACGGCGCTTAGGCGATGTTTGCGATGATACACACGGCGGCATTAGTGAGGACAGCTTAGCTGTTAGCTGCGCAGTTGCCACATGGTAATTATGTTGTGAGGCTAGATCAGGAGAAGTCTGCATAAGTTTCGCGGTGAGATACGAGATCTGCAACAGAAATGGGAGCTGATGAGCTAAAGTGTAGTGCAAGAACCCAGAGTTCTGAGTCAGTTATTTGCTGTGACACAAAATCGGGGAGAGCAGCACCCCAACCTCGTCCCAGATAAGTAAGTGGGAAAGCGCTATCTGTAATTCCAAACGATAGTTGGTCATCACGATAAAGTAGTAGCAACGAGCGTCTAGTACATTTCGGCGCCAGCAACGAAATCTCGTCCGTCATCTAAGGGAGAGAGTAAGGGAGCGGTAAAGTCCAAATCGGACAATGATTTGGTCCTCAAATCGAATTGTCTACTTGAATTTCACAAGTGCGCTCCAAACAGCTGCACCATTAACATATCGTTGGTGCCACAAGGTCGAAGAGTTACGTCTGACAGACTGCCAATCGGCAGCTTACACAGTGCTGCATGTCTAACTGTAGCAGCTCTCTTTCTGTAGGGTCACAAACACATTCGCAAGTTGTCTGCTGTCTTTAACCTAAATTATGGAATCACGGTTACAGGGAATTCCAGTTTAAATCTTCTGCATAGACCGTGGGTAAGGTCAAGGCTTACTAACCAACAATTTTCCACTTGCGCTGAGTACGACATGCTTGGTCCAGCTCTCCTATGGTCGCTTAGGGGTGATGTACAGAAGATGCGCATCCAGATGAGCTGAGCATTATCCGAAGCGTGGTCGAGCGTAATGAATAACGCAGAAGCCCAAGGAGCCCCGAGTGCCAAAGGTGAGACCTGTTTCCGCGGAAAAGCGGTTCAGATAAATATCATGATTGTTTAATGGTGATGCAATGGCGAGTGATTAATGCGGTGCTGGCGTACGTCGCGTTGATTGACCCCAGAGATCAGATTACTTCCCCAAATCCACCTTGACCAGTCCAATCAGCCACCTAGATCGAGCAGACATTTCCATCCAGTGACAAGGTGTCCAATTCGCACGTGTCCGAAAAACTCCCCCTAGTTGTAGTTTTAGTAGTATGGTGACGAGTCATTTGACAAAGGCTTGTTCGCTAGCTATGGGCTTCTGACCTTGAGAATAACAAAATATGCAATAAATATGTACCCATTTTGCTCAAATGTCTACAGCCAAAACCATGAAAAGAAGCGAATAAGTATGTAAACGGAAAGCGATTGCGGATAATGAAATAGAATATCTAAAAAAAGCAAAGACATGATCGTGTCCAATGCGTGTGTGGCTGAAGGAAAAACAGTAATTCTCCGCCGAACATGGAATGTGCAGAGAGGAATAATAAGTATTGAATACCATCGAAAGCAGTGGCAACCGTGTGGTAAAAATGAAACAGGATATCAACCGCCACAATAACAGGTAGTTGCTAGGGGTCACAGATGTGGTAGACAAAAGGGTATCGGAATGACTCACTCCAAATGATTAAGATAAGAAAGCGGATTCAAACAAGAAGTGTTGCTAAGGAATGAAGACGAGCAGATAGATGGAGGAGAGAATCTATTGCACTGAGTAAGATAGCCACCGAGTTCGATAACTACACGGTGGAAGTCCGTGTGGAATGTCTACGAAAACGTTGGATGCAGCTGATGGGAAACGTAAAGTCAGCTGCGCGTTGATAGACATGTAAAGGGAATGCAGGATCGGAAAAAGAAGCGATTTACATAGAATGTTCTCCGATGGCGAAGTTGGGAACGGGGGTTCCACAGAAAGCCCCAGTCTATTTGTGGGGACGGGAATGAAGTGCGGTACTGGAGGGCTCGTTTGAAAGGAACAAGGATTCGTCCGTGAAAGTGGTTCGAGTAAGTGGACAGAAGAGGAGAGAATGTTGGACAAAAGACATTTACGCGCGAGTTACAGCGACGAAACCTTGATAGCGGGATTAGCACTGACAGTTGCTGTGTTGCGGATCCGCATTGTTTCTCAGTTGAGCACCTGGTTGTAAACAAGAAATGGGGTGGAAAGAGTGAAGTGGTTAAGTTAGTCGTTGCGCAGCAGACGGGATGATGAACAGCGGATAAACGCAGTCTGAAGCAAAATACAGAGAGAAAGTCACGCATTGTTCAAGGAACGCACTGGAAGCAAGAGGGGAGAAAGTAAAAGCCATAAGGATGTTTACATTTTCTTCCAGTTTGCAGGAAAACTGCAAACGATTCATCATTGTGATCCAAGGGAGCGTCCGTGGCCCTCTGCTCACGTTGATATACATCAATAACATAACACACGCTATTAAACATGGGACCCACTATCTATCAAAGGAAACCGAAAGACCCCTGGGAAAACTTACGGAGTGACTTACTGGTTTTCGAAACATGGTGCGACAATTGGCAAATGTCATTCGCTGGGGATAAATGTGGAGTATTAGCGCGTTGATGGGAAATTTATATGGACATCTTACACTCCCGCGTGGAGTTAATTTCATTACGTAGTCCAATACGATACTTGGGAGTTCATTTCTTCTAAGCAACCGAAGCCCGCCAAACGGCAAGGCTAGTCTTCGAATCACTCGCACAGCGTGACTGTAAGGTTTATTTGTTCAAAATTTGTGTGCACCCTTTGTTCGATGATATTTACCAGCTGTAAGCGTGATTGTTTGCACTTGCATAAAGCGCAGCGTACATTCAACAAAGCCGTCCATTCAGCCCTCCTGTACGGTTGCCAAACCTGGCCAATCAAGCCGACAGACATAAAGGGGTGAGTTACCTTCGATCCTCGCTGCATTCGTAGCTAAGCCCATGCTTAGTGCGACCACCACGTGAGCAATGAGCGTGTTCGTCGTTATGTATTTGGTGCCAGAAGAGCGAATGAACCGTTCAGCACCGTTACTTCAAGCAAACAGATTCCGATGGCTGTCTTACCTGAGGACTGGTCAATACACTGTCTGGTGCAGTGAATGTCTGTTCTGACGGTCCTATGCCTCACAAACCATGATTAGAACACATTACGGTCACCACAACTGACCATTAGTAGAGCAGGTTTCACTTGAACTCACTCAAGTGAGAGCAGGTAGAGATGACGTCAAAATCTTGAAGAAACAACTTCGTCTCACTTTTGTTGATTTTTAGGGATCGGCAAATACAGTGACTTACAACTTTGGACAAAGTTGATGTCGCAAAGTCGCATTGTCAGTTTAGCTATGGACGGGCTTATATTCGGTAATAAACGGTATATATCCGTTGCGATCCTGTTAGAAATAAATTGCATATGCTCATTTTCTGCGAGACATGTCTGTTGCAACACGTCGGTGTAAGCAAAAAGCATTTTCTAATACAACGACTACGAATGATCGGAAAATGTACAGCAGTGTAGTAAATCGTAAGTGTTGATTGTCGTATTAGTGCGTTAGATGATACGCTGCGAAGGGTGATCAGACCATATAGTTAGACAGCATCTCGCGTATACCATTTATACTCCAGAATATGATAACACAATCAGTATAGCAAACGTTCGATATGCTTTTGTCTGTCTTCGCATCCTGTGTATCTGGGGCGACATCACTCTCTCCAGAAGCATATATAATACAGCGGTCCTTTCAACACCTGTGTATGGTTGTGAAACGTGGCCCGTCAGCTCAGCAGATGTGGTCAGGCTAATTGTGCCTTCGTGGTTCGGTTAACAACTAGTGGGGAACATTGCGTGAGCAATGAGCCTGTTAGGCGTCTTGTTCATGGCGCAGGAAGAGCGAGCGAACAACTCGACACACCGTTGTTTCACGCACAAGGGTCCGATGGCTCGGTCATGTGTTAGGCATACCAGCACAACGACCCTCGCGACATGCGTTGTCTGCGAAACCGACGTGTGGAAGAAGAGCGGAGGCTAAAGGATGACGCGATCAAGAGGCATGAAGGCCCCCACTTCAGTTGCAGCTTCCCAACTTTCTAGTTGAGGTTAGAAAAACGATGGACAGGTTTGGTTGGATACACTTGTTGACATGGCGAAGAGCCAATCACCTTGGCGCTTGTGTCGTGAATTTCTTAGTCATTCCCCATGCTCACCTAGCCTCCTCATCCAACCGCGCTCTTGTCGTCCATACATACAACAAAGCATAATAATGTTTCTTAGTCGACTTTTCACGCCTACATAATTGTAATGTATTGTGGCACAATAGCTGGAGCATCTGTCACCTCCAGTTAACATGTATGATGCTGACGATGATAATGATGATGATGATGCTCGATCCTGCTGCAGCGAATCGAACAGACCAAACACATATGGATTCGGTCGTGCAGCGCAGTGGTGAGAGCGATTGTCACTTAGCGTCGCAGTCATCGTCCTCGTGATCGATCCGACTAGGGTACGATGGAAAGTAAAGCAAGTAATCGGTAATTAAAAAAAAACGAACAATGAATCACTATTGTGAGAGTACATCAACTGACCTCCACTAAGCAATCGCTTTGGGTCAACGCGGGCCTGGTCCTCATCACCTGCGCGAATAAGTGATTCGCTTCACATCCAAAATGTTGATCAATATCATAAGAATGAAGAAGGGCGCGCGACTGTGGGCAATTTATCGACACGCGGTCACTCACGTGCAAGGACACTCACACTGACATCTCGGGGTGGATTGTCACTGAAATAGCTCACTCTGGTATCCATACTCACGCACACACAGGTGCGGCGGACACAGCGCTTGCCTAGCTAAGCGAGGTGGGGAAAGAATCGATTGAAGTATTAAACGCAAAGCAACATCACGTCGGCAAGTGGGAGTCAGTGAGATGGTTGCCTTATCTTCAACTACCCAGTGTGTGTGTGTCCGCACGAGCGCGTTTGTCTCCGCTACGGTGACCAAGCGCCGTTCGCCAAATCGACGTGCCCCAATAGACGACATTGGTAGTAATTGGTAAATAAAGTAGTGAAACCGGATGAACAGATGAAACAACGCGATAGGGTAGTCCCATCAATGTCCCGCTGCGCTGTGTCCAAATCAATCGGCTCATGCGTTTTGCGCATAACAAGTGGAAGAACTTTATAACAAGCCTTCCCACGTCAGATGAGGACTCCATATTTGCCCACAAGAGATTTGGCGGGGGAAACGAATAGCACCAGTTGGCCATTAATTCGTTACTCAGAAATGACTCCGCGGAGTTTCCCGCGTAGGGGTGAGTGATCTCACAGTATCGCAAGGCTGCATGCAACAGCTGGTAGCAGTGAAGCATCGATACGACGTGCCATTATGTCCATCTCTGAAATTCATTGTCCATGGGCAGCGCCATCAGTGTAATCGTAACGACGTGTAAGCAAGTGGCTGGGGATGATGAACATTTCAGTTCGTAATTTCAAACAAATAGCACTGAATAAGGTACGTGGATTCGTTTCCGTTTTAAGTACACCCGTGTACCAAACCGACCTCTGGTTTGTTCACTGGAAATCGGGTGACCTGGGGCTGGAAGAGGTCAGGCATTAACGTGGCAGCGGGAAATTAGAGCTCTCTGCAGAACCGAGTTCACGAGATCCATCCTGTAGCTGAAACGTAGCAGGCCCGGTTCAGTGTGACCCGCTGTCCAAACAATTAGTGGAAAATGCGAATGCTGCCGAGATATCCGTGATGGGAAGTTGGTTTAGACACGGGGCGCTGAAATCCACTAGCAAGCTGCTTTCACAATGGCATTTTATCTTCTAATGAAATACATCTATTTGTGACCGTGTGTGAAGTCGTGATTTCTCGACAAACTATCCCCATAGATCAGATGGGCTACCCATCAACCAAAGTTTACTTTTACTATTATTGATTAGTAGGACTAATATAACTGTGTGACATTGAAGCATCAACACAAGTTACCCACTTACTGCTATTGAGGATGATGAAGAGAAACAAATGTTACCGGAGGCCGAACACAGCTAAAGGCCGCGTTACAACGTTGGAGGAAGAAGAGGTGTGTGACTTTCAAACAAACAAAAACCTAACATGTAGGCATGTGTCTGTCTGTTGCCCAGCTCAATTCACTTGTTTAGCATGACCTAATCACAGAGGTGCAGTGGACGTGTAACTATGACAACAAAAACAGGATAAAATATAAAAGATCAACTAAAAAAGGTTGAAGAAGCTAATTCAGGCAAACGAACAAACGTTAGGACTAGGAACTCTCCGGGGTTCCTAAACATACGGTACCCAAATGACATACCCTTTTCACCTTAAATTGAACGATTTGCAAATCACTACGGACACCTTGAATTTTAAGCAGAAAATCTGCAATTCAGTTGAGAGAAACGAGGAGTAAAGCGACTAGACGATATTCAGACTACATCGCAGCCATGTTAACGCAACCGAGCTGGGCAACCAGCGGGTGCAATTGCAAACTCTTCTCTTAATCGTGAACTTCGATCGCCTCGAGCAAAGGCGGTGACTGTCCTCCTATGTCCCCATCTGTCTTCTCGTGGTTTATGTGCTTCTGACTTTACACATGGACCTGTGTAGCTATGTGACTATTGGAAAGTCCGACTTCGAAATAGCGTTGTCTACCATGGCTTAAACATATGTTACCTAGCATTGGAGAGTCGCTGTGAAGCACACGTTTTGAAAATGGGTTGCCATGCGCCATCTCAATGTGGACCGAGATTCCCACTGAATTAAAGCTTGGCCATTGCTTACACAGTTTCGTCCCATTCGCATGACCATGCCCAATTGTCCTGCTCCCTTGCCTTGATAACAAACTGAAAGGTTGGCCCAGTAAAATTACGCTGGTTTTGGTGCATTTATCATGGCCTACACTGTTCCAATAATCGAGCAGCTGAATGGGTTCTCCCACACACCCACATAAGGTACGCGAAGACACAGAGAGTGACGAAGAACAACCGGGTCAACAGTTATGATCGGGACAATTGACGACCATAATCATGAGGAGGGAGTGCACATTCGCTCACTGATTATGCAGTTACGTTGCATTCGCTTAGGCGCAATGTAGCCGGATTATCGTACAGTCTCCTTACTCCCCTGA